CATTTTCCGCTAACTGGGACATCTCATCTGCGAACCACTGCATACATTCTGCACCTCGGAATGACTTGTAAAAGGATAATGAATCATCATATGAACACTTTAGGTAATATCCTACCGCAGCCGGAATATGTTGCTGAGTTCTTTTAGAATCTGCTGTAGGTGCTAGGACGCTTTCCAAGTCCGCATATACTATGAAAGGCGCCCTTTCCTTGTTCTTGTAATTTTTAAATCTTAATATATTTTTTCCAATTTCTGGCATCTTAATTTTTGTATCATTGATCTTTGCACAGTCTTCCTGATGCTTGTCAAGCTTATCTTGCGATCTGAAATAGTGCAGGCAGCGGTCGCAGATATGTTTTTTCCCATCATGCTTGCTCAGCTGTTTGGATACTAGTCTGGAGAGATTCTTTATCCAGCAAAAGTGAAATTTGGTTGGAGCGTCTTCTCCCCCATCGCCATATTTATCCTGTATCATCAATAAATTCACATGTTTGTCTTTTTTATTACGGGTTAAATATGTCGGTAGGACTTTAAAGGTTTTTCCTGATTTTTCAAGCTTGTAAACATTCACAGATAGGCTATTTTGTTTCTCGAAATTGGGAATCTGATTGATGCTCATTGGGAATTGAATCCCTTTCAACTTCAACACATCTGCAGGGTCCGGGTATTTGCTTAAGCGTTGGGGATGTTCCTCAACTGGAAACAATGCCGAAACTACTGCCCATGCAAAACATCTGTTATCAGCGTTCTGCACGTTTATACAGGCCTTTTTATGTTTTATTGAAGGCGGCAGTTTGATGTAGGAGGATCCTAGTTGAGGCGTGAATCTATTTATGTTAATGCCCAAATTTATAATTTTCTTCAGCGCCCAACCACTATCCCGTTCCTGAAATTCTTCCAACTCGTTCATAATGGGTTCAGCAACCTTATCCTTAAACCACTGGTCGAGATTGGTGTCTAAGTAGATGGGGGAGTTGGAGGTGGTAAAGTACTTGAATTCTTTTAACACTTTATCACCCTTGACAATTGTAAATTCCCCACAGAAAGCAGCATTCACCTTGATTGACTGTTCTTTTTTGAGTGCATTATTAATGCGCCTCTTGAACAATGCAGCACAATCAACCAAGAATGCTTTTGGCTCTTTGTGTTTTATATTGGAGATGACTCCAGTCCTTATTCTGCTGTTAAAAGCAGAAATGGAGTCATCCCAATGCACCCGCTCCCCCGCTTGTTCAGGACGTGATGTAATTCCCGCACCCTTCTTCAGCATTGTCTTAAATTGATTTCTAAGAGTCCTTATGTGTCGGAGTGAGGCCTCCAAGTGCTGCTTTTCACCCATGGTCTTTGCTCCTTTGAGAGCCTTGTTGAGCTTGCGGGCTCCTCGAGTACACTCGAGGAGCCCGTCCCTCACAGCCTGGTCCGTATTAGCGGGAGTAATGAGCCCGAGGAGAGCAGCTATATGTCTCAGCATTGCAGCAAAGTCTGGCATCATGTTATCTGTAAAAGATTAAAAAATTTAGTTTTGATCAAAGGTGTTAAAGTAATATTTTATGAAATCAAAAAATTGTTATCTCTCAAACTTATAATTTAGTAGAACAATCTGCTAAATTTAAGAATAATCTACTTAAATAGTTGACCACACCTTTTGGCTACGTTTTACATCTGAGATAATAACCACAATTAAAAAATCCTTATACTTAAATCCAAAAATAAACTGTTATCAAAAAATGTTATCAAAAATAAATTAACTCACCTTTGAAAATATTTTCAAGAAGAAACACTGTTTTCAATAAAACCACGAAACACAGATAAAAATTCGGGATGATTAGAGCACCTAGTTATCTCTATGACGCACTAATCTCGAATGAGCATCCCGATTAAGCGTAGCCCTTTTAACCTGTAGGACGGACGGAGGACAGAACGGTTTTCGTGTAACTGATGAGAAAGGCCCCCCAATCTAACAGGTGCTTGAAGACGTTTTCCATAAGAATCAATGTAAAAGTGTAGCAATTATCGGTTTTTACCCAATTTGAACACATTTTCCCATTTAAATACATGCATTTTTAGTTTAAAGCTTTGCGGTTTTGTTCAAGATACGATGTGGGTGGTGAGTCATCAATGCAATTATTTCATAAGTGAAAAATGGTGCAAGTTAAATGATACCATCCAGCAATAAACTTGATTTTTCGTTTTGGGGGCTTCTGTTACAAAAAATTTTGGTACAGGAACGTTTTCACTTCTATGAAAAATGTTTTAGGGATAATTTAAAATTATTTCGTCAGTTATCAGTTAAATGATGGCTGCAAAACCGCAAGGTCTTCCTGTTGCCAAATTTCATGGAATAGTTATTATTTTGATTGAATCCTCAGTTTTTTCTCTGAGGATCTAGGATCTTTTTTTAGATAACATAAGTAATTGGAATCTTTTTTTTTTGGATATAAAATTATAATCAATATCTTTTCAAGGTTGGACTAGACTCCAGAGAGATAACGCCTCTTATAACTTTACCTAACCTTTTCAAATTAAACAATAATTTGCTTTTTTTGGTTTATGAATCGAAATGCTGTGTCTCGTATTTGTTGTGATTATTATTGATTAGTTTGATTATTGGAGCATTGGAGACAAATGATTATGTATGAGAATGATGAAGCGTGAGGGTGCTGGATTGCAAGTGTGTTTGTATGTATGATGCGGTCATTGACCCCGCCTCAAAGGCTGTGTGCAAGCTAGTGTGATCGACTGAAGACGTGGGTTTTGGAAAGGTGCTGGGTTATAGCGACGGAAGCTGTCGCGCTGGATGATGTTTACATGAAATATATTGTATATTATAAAGTAAAATTATTTTGTCAGTTATCAGTGTAATGATGGCGGCAAAACCGCAAGACTCGATTGGTATAGTGTTCATTTTTAAATTAAACTTTTAAACTAATCTATGTTTCTTAGATATTTTATAATTACATCGCTAGTTATTTCAAATTGTTCTTGCGAACGTGTAAAAAAATTTGGTCTTGTTGTCTGCTGAATTTCTTGGAATAATTGATTGGTACCTTTTGTTGATATCACACAAGTAAGTGAAATTATTTTGAAATAATTGGCTATCTGTGTTATCAGCAAAAAAAAACCGCAACTCTTGTTTAGACTCGTCAACTAGTTTTGAATTAAACTTTTAAAGTAATCTGTGTTTTTCAGATATTTTATAATTACGTCACTTATTGTGAGGTGCTCATGTTAATGTTACTGAATTTCTTGGAATAATTGATTGAAACCTCTGATAAAAATAACTAGGATCTTTTTCGATACTTAACACAATCTCTTTTTATATTATAATCAATTTTTTTTCTAAGGCGATGTCTATTAGATGTATGCACTGAGCTGATAATAAAACCCAGTTTCCTACAAAACCATAACAAAAATAATTTGTGTTTGTTGTGCGAGAGAGAGGTAGGTATGCGGTATGAGCGGGAGGTGTATCATCATCAGTACCTTGTATGGAGCATCAAGGTATGCACGGTCTATGTCCACTCGATGGATTCACTGAATATTTACAATTTTTATTTCCTCGACAATTATTTCACCCACATCAATTTGAATTAGTTACGCCATTATCAGTATGAGGTATGAGACACCTGAAATTTGAATTAGTGACGCCATTATCAGTATGAGGTATGCGACACCCAAAGTGCCAATATGTCTGAGGTAACTGACCGCTCCTCATGATTGCATGTTACCTCCTCCTTTTTACCATTTATTATCAACTGCTAGGATAGCCTAGTGGTTTCTGTAGCGGGCTTTCAAGCTGGGGACGGGAGATCGGTTCTCAGTGGTTACCGACTTTTTTTTTAATTTCCATTTCGTGATGCAATAGCTGCGCGGGTCGATTATATATGAGAGCGGGACAGAGAGAGAGGTATGAGGTACGAGGTTGAGGTATGAGAGCAAGAGAGCGAGAGTTACGGTATCATCAGTATCAGGTAGCGAGTATGTGTGGCTGCCTCGGCGGCTACTGAGGTAGTGCGAACGGTCAATGCAGACCTGGGCGCTGGAAAGGGGGCGGGGCCTAATTCTAGGAAATTTTACCCCCACTCCAAAACGGTCCGAAAACTGGCAGAATGGACCTTAGATTTTCTTATGGAGATTTACATGGGAAAATGGGTGATTTTGGCCCAGTTCTGTCCTAGCACCTTTACTAGGGCAATGTGATGATTCGCCAGGCTGTCAAGAATCTGTCGGTATTCCCTATTGAGTATTCTAGAATCTAGCGAATTATTCTACTTAATTCGGGAAAATAAGATTATCGTGTGTATTCTAGACTTTGCAGGAATAGATTTAGGGATATATAAAGGCGGTTATTGCTTTGTAGTTTTAGTTTCAGTTCGACTGTGATACGATTTAAATAGTGATTGTAAAGAGTTTAATTGTTGAGTTAGTTATTAAAGTAATTAGTGTCAGAGTGTATTGTTAAGTGGAATAAATTATTGCTGTGTTAATTGGACTTTGATTTTTGGAATAAACGAAACGAACAACGAACCCGAGATTTCTGTCAGGCAACCCAAAGCCATGACAATACGTTCACAGCAGATAAAGTCAAAGATTCTTTAAAATTCACGATAAACCACTGGAAAACTGAAGTATTACGAATAGCTTTTGGCTTGTGTCATGCAGGAGTGCGTTGATTTGGAATAACAATATCAATAGTAACTAATACAACTTTTCAAGAATGGCAACAAACACAATCCATAAAATTATCGACCTATTAGTCTTACATGCAACCCATCAAAGTGCATGAAAAAAATCTTGGTTAAAGAAGAGGCTTCCTAATTTTTCGAAGACAATCTGCATTCTACTACAACTAACTTGCTAGAATGTCTCAATAACTAGACTACTGAAAATCACGGTGACTCCCAATTTTAACGGATCATTTCAAAACTCCTTGGCAATATCTCTCTTAATAAATTTCTGTGTTTTCTACTTTTGTCACAACAATTTTATTTTCGTTTCAGATCAACAAGAAATAATACCGTCAAGACGCCAAACCAACACCACGGAGCTCGACAACACGAAAACATGGCTGGCGATGTCCGTCTTAGAACTGACAATATCGAAAGAGAATCACGGCAGAATGCTGAGCTGCGTAGCAGTGCATGAATCTTACTCTACTAGATCTAGCAGCATTGAAGTTAGATTGGATGTTATGTGTAAGTGATTATGATTGTCAAGGTTGAACAAGAAATAAGTTGAGTTGAGGATCGCTTATTTCTCACTTGTAGAAAGGTTTATTTGCCCCCAAAATAGTCTGGTACTGCTGATCACAGTTCTTTTTTTAATCTCCAAGACTCAACTTTATTGTTTAGTGAATGTTTAACACCTTTTATTGAAAACATCTAAATGTATGGAGTAGTGGCTATTGTACACTTGAGGATAATACAGCACACTCCTTCCTTCTAGCTTGAATTACTAGTAGTTCAACATCTAATTTTGTCTTGTTGCACAAATTAGAAAGTTCTAGACGTAGATTACAAATCTAATTTTATTGGAGGTTCACCAATCAATGCGATTGAAACGTTTCTATACTGTATTTTCTATTTTGAATATCTGTTTGAAGTGACTGAATTGTATTGTTGAACGAGTTTATTTTGTAAACTTCCATCAGTACTTAATAGGAAAAAATTGTGCGTTACAGTAATTATGTTGAAATATCTATTTCAGAGTTCGGACTAGACCTGAATAAAGAGTAACTGCTGCAAAAAAATATTTTCAGTAATTAATTTATTCATCTTAGATAAATTCGAATCAGGAGAAGAATTGGGTGCTATGGAAACATTTTCTAAGTATTTGAAAGTAGTTGAAGTATTTAAAGATCAAATTCATAAGGATTATTAGAAAGGCGTCATCGATGTTAACCAACGAAGACTTATTACCAGGACTCAATCAAATACGTATAAGTACTTACTTTATCTATGACAGACAGTTCCTCTCATAGTTTTAACGTTTATCGTTGTGGTTTTAATTTACTTGTTGATGCTCGCAAATTTTCTGTCAACAAAGCTAATTTAAATAGTACGCGGTTTACGGCAATAAAAAAACTCTAGCTAGAATATTACCGGTTGTATGTTGTTTTAATATTTGTCCTTCCAGCCCCAGATTTGCATTTAGTAAAGCAATTATTGCATTCTTTACTCAATTTCCAATCTTAATTATTTTTTTCTAATAGTTCATAAAAAGGCCTAATTATAGAAGATAAATTTGGAATAAACTTTTCATAAACATAAACCAAGCCAAAAACGGCTCGTAATAATGTGAAATCATGTGGTTTAGGAGCATTTCTTACTGCCAAAATGCCCTATTCAGAAGGCCTAATTCCCTCATCACTGATAGTAAACCCAAGATAATTAACACTGTTTCTTAAAAAACAGTTCCCAAAACTTACTTTCAGATCTGCAATACTCAACTACAATTATTCAAATCGGCATCCCAAACTAGAACATCATTTAAAAAAATATACTGCCATCCCGAACAATATCCTTTCCATAGTGGCTTGAAAGATAGCAGGAGCGCACGTGATACCAAAAGGCATCATTTTATACCTCTATAATCCTTCTTAATTAAGGTATTAATAATGACCAACTCCTTGGGACTCCTTTTGATAAGCATTTTTCGAATCACTCAAAATAAAAACTCTACCTTTTCTTAAAATTGCCAAAATATCATATCGTTTTGGTAATAATTGATAATGTTCTTGCAACTGAATTTATTGATACTTTGTAGTCGCCGCAAATTCTTACCTTTTTTTGACTACCAATACCTCTTGACTTTCTCTAAAACAATTGGAGAAACTCATTTGCTGTGGCTAACCCTTTCCGGAATGCCCAGATTCTTTAATCTGTTCAATAGGCACCTTGCATCAATTTTTTTTTATTGCTGACTTCGTTTGTCGATGAAAAATAACTCAACACGTGTTTTTTCTTTTTCTTCTTAAGCGGCGTTTCCACAAGCATAGTTTATTAGCGCCAGTGAACAGGTCAGTTTGCTGGCGTAATAATAGTGGCGCCAGTATCTGTTTCCACTTGATATCAAAAACCTTTAACTGGCGCAGTAGAAAAATGGCGTTAACTGAAGAGGTTCAAGCAGGTTTTAATCTTGAAGAAATTTTGTTACTGCAATTGCAGAAGATACGAAAAAAACAAGAAGCATCAGAGACATAAACACAAGATACGAAAATGGATTTCACGCAGAAAAGCTCTACGAACATCAAATAATTTACTGTCTGAGTTAACGGATGAAGACCATGAAGCATTTCTACTGCTTCTTATTTTACTTTCAGCAGTGGTAATTCAAAACCACTCACGAACATTGTTACGAACCCGAACTCGGACACCTCAACACTTATCGTTATAGTATCATCCCGTTTATTCCTGTTTTGGTAACACAAAAGTTTGTGATTCCACAAACAGGGATGCTCTTCATAAACTTCCAAAACTTTTTATGTTCCATTTTTTAGATTTGCTTGGTATTTTCATTATTTTTCTGAAAACGACTAGTGAAAACGTTTGTATTTTTTTTGACAAACTGGCGCACATGCCAAACTGGCGTCAAAAAGTAGACCTCCATCCTACTTTACTGGCGCATGGATAAGTGGCGCCAAATAACTGGCGCCAGTTAATTTTCCGAGTTTCCACGCGCCAGAAAAGTGGCGCCAGTCGATTGGCGCCAATAAACTATGCATGTGAAAACGCCGCTTTAGAAAAAAATTGACGGAGATACAACGCTTTGAAATGTGTTTATTTTTGATATCCTATGACGTACAAAACTTAATCTTTGTATAACTTTCGGAATATTCATATTTGGACAAAATAAAAAAATACGTATAGATTTTTTTCCGATTTCCTACAGTTTGCAATAAACAGTTATCAATTTAATTTTTCATGCAAGGTGCCTACACGTCGAGCTTTATAGAAGATGGATATTAAAATTACATACCTTCTAAAACAATATCAATCTTTCCACCATTATGTAGAACTATCGTTGTGTCCATTGAATGTCAAATTGTTAATGATCTGAAATGAAATATCTAATTATTTCATTCAATTTCGTTTCAATAACATTGGACAAGTTCTTATTTAGTCCACTTTGACAACAAATAAACAAAGTTCCTTTTTGTACCCTTTAGAATAAACACGTAAATAAATTTCATCTAAAACACTGAAAATGTAAACAACTTAGCACTACATTGTAACATTTGATCACAAGAACATATTTAATTGTTCTTAATTAGGCAATCTCAATCACGTGATTTTATAATGGCCGTTCGGGTCAAATATTGCCGTGACAAGGGTGACAAGCTGGTGACGTTCATGAGGAGAGCATTCGTGTTCTGTCCCTTGTTGCTTTCGAAGTGAATTTTATAGTCTTTGGTGTTTCTACGTATTTTTTATTGGTTTTGGCCATTGTTGTTTTCATAGTGAATTTTATAGTCTTTAGTATTTCAACGTATTTTTTAGTGTTCTGGCCCTTGTTGTTTTCAAAGTGATATTTATAGTGTTTATAGTGTTTCTACGTATTTTTTAATTTACTAATAAATTCTGAGATGGAGAGTGAATATTTTAAGGTATTATTATTAAGGGAAAATCGAGCCTCTGTTAGATCCTTTCTATTAATTGCAGCAATAGGTAATCCATAAAGCCCTGCATTGCCAATGATTTAAAATAGCAAGAACTGAATAAAATTTCACATTTTTCCTGTTACCTCGGCTTCCACACCCAATTACGATGAAAATCGCTGGCATTTTAATTAACACAATACCTAAACACACAAAAAAATACAAAATCCGATAATTCAAATCTGGACGTTTGTCCAGAATGTGACAGAATCAGTGATATACAGAATAAACAACACAGTGCTTGACCCGAACTTCCATATTGAATTTCGTTTTTGACAGGTCAGTAGATTGCCTAATTAATTTCATATATTTGAACTCATTTAAGATTCTATTTCGTATACCTGGCGACACCTATGATTCCTCTGACTAGTTTCCTGACCTAATACCGAAAATTATATTATCAAAAGGTGGTTTCGATTTGCTCACTCCGGTACTCCGAGTGACTCCATTCGCACTCCCGCCGAACCGAACTAAGGTTCTTCATAAGAAAAACCCGTAGCACTGTCATTTTTATAATTTCGACAGGCTTGACAGAAGAAGAAAGACACAACCACAGTTTGAGACTTTTGACCTTTCTTTTATAGTGAGACTGAAAAGGTCGTCTAGGAGAAATCCAAAATTTTGGTTTTCATTCTTGGCCATCGAGACCAAAATTGGATAAGTTTAACTAGCCAGAGGAGTGAGTAGTTGTGCCAGCTGGAACGTTTCCTGAAAAATCAATAGATTGTTGATTTTTGTTTAAATTTCTGAAAGTGAGGTTATTATCGGCCGCTCAGGTATGTTAACCCCTTTTTCCCTTTGATAAATGAGTCCTTATATTTCTTCATTCCGTTCAGGCAATTTGGGAGAGTATTAAAAATCCACGCCTACACTTCTGGGTGAAAATTTGACGAATTTGAGACCATGCGGTACTGCATTTCCAAAGCGAGTCTGGGCCCCCTCTACAAGGAAAGTTGTGTCTTGTAAGAGATTGATCCCCGACCATTGGATGATTGCCTTCCGTCAGTTTGGTTCTTCTGGATCTCAAATTCATGAAAATTTCCACGGATTTCGTCCAGGCTTGTATAATTACTTACCTAGGGGTCCCGTAACTGTGCCTTAATAATTGCCGTTACTTATTATCTCATTTCTACCGCTCCCTATCGATTAGCTTTATTAGCTAATAAATATCTTTACAAATAATAATAACTGTTAATTATTATTATTTTTTCTTTATCGCTCACTATCGATTAGCTTAATTAGCTAATTAATAACTATAAAATCATTTATATCCTACTGAACTATTAAAACAATATAATACCTTGGTTACGATAATCATAAACAGGGTCTTAGCTCCCAAGGGAGTTAAGGATTTTCATAACTCCCAAGGGAGTTAAGGAAGGGAGTTAAGAATATCATAACTCCCAAGGGAGTTAAGGATTTCCATAACTCCCGCTTTTACCTTGAATAGGTAACACTTTGACAAAAAATAGAAATTTTGATTTATGGCTTATTCCTTTATAAAAATAGACAGAATACAGTAAATTCAGTAGGATATAA